AGTCCTAACCGATATGCGCAGATGCACACTTATAATAGATGTATATTTTATAGATATCTCAACACTATTTAATTGTAATAATACTGGTATATATATCCTCAGGATGAAGAGATGGATAGTATTATTAATGAGTTATTAATGAGTTGCTTGGGCTGGTTATTGCGAGCACGAATACTCAGGCGGGAGAATTCAGGAGTGACGAAGAGGACGATCAGGAAGCTATTGGGAATGTTCAGCTAGACACAGACACAACCTTAAGCACAAGCAACTATACTGACGAAACATACATTGAAAGACGCGGACGAAAACCATTGAAAAATGGTTTAACACCAGAGACGTTCTTCACTTTGTCACACACTTTGCGAGGACTGGCGCGTTGTATCAGGTACATGTTGAGAAACCTATTTATGAGGTACATAACTACCAGGGAGGATCAATAATGATCCCATTGAAATGAGCTTCAGCATTGCTCGTTCAATGGCTGGTGGAAATAGTCACCTAGACACAGTTGCATATATCTACTCATAAAGCACTTTGCTCATACGTGCTATGAATGATTTATGTAGGAACACAGATCATAGTCATAATAGAACACTCTATAAACTTCTATTCCATGGTTTACAAGCAAAAACTGATGCCCTAGAGAACACGCAATTTACCAAACTACGTCTGCAGTGGAAACACCTACAAAACTACGGAGATAAGCTCGCGCACAAGTCTGCACAAGATCCGACTTTACCATACATTGCAAGATATGCAGTTCACAAACTATTGAAAAATTATCCTTTGGACTGTGTAACATGTACCGACATCGTCACCTTTCGGTAAAGGTCTCGACGACGAACAACAAATGTTTGTAGAATATTCTTGTGCACTAATAGCTGAATTAGATCGAAAAGGGTTAACTTGGCCGTCGCAATCGACGGTTGTTATGGCTGGCCTATCGCTCAATGTTATCGACGAGATTATCAACGACAAGGTTCTGATAAGTCACTTTAACGAGTCTTCATGCGCCAGTCGAGTGGGTTTAAAAGTAATTCGTAGCATAATGATGCATAGAATAGGTACATGCCGAGCTCTTCAAAGTATCAAGGATACATGTTCAATGTGCAATGGAGATCGAATTCAAACAATAGTACCACGACTACTAAGCACGCTTTTCAATATTGCTTGTAATAACACGAGTTTAGTGTTAAATAGGAAAGCATCTGCAACTGTTGTCACTCTGAGCATGGTTAAGACTAATAAGAAAAAAGGTCAACCCATTGCATTGACAAGTACAGAAAACACAACACGTGTACTAGACAACTCTGGTAAATGGACCGTAGAGAAGTACAAGGACATCTTGAGAAGCGTGAATGGGCCGCTAGGAGGTGGCATAGAGACGCTCCGTAAGCGCTGTTTATTCTTAAAGGACTTACAGGCTCACGGTATTGGCAGCGTGCTTGGGCTGAAAACTGAAGATGCACGGAAACTTTGCAATCAGCTCGATCTTTCGCTAGGCTCGAAGGTAGAGGTGGTGGAGCGGATTGGAAAAACTCTACTAAACCCTTCGGCTCGCCAGCAGAACGGCGCGATTATATCAGCCGTCAGAGAAGGATAATATGCTTAGTAGACAAGCTTGGGTGTCGAAGAAGGCAACAAAGTTGCGTGTTTACAAGTGTATGTGCGTGTGTTTTGGTTTTAGTACTAACCACACAGTCACTAAGCACTAGTAAAAAATACGTCATCAATTTGCTACATCGAGCACGCTTGGCTGTTTTATTTTAGAAGGCTATGCATGATAATTATCAAGAGAGAAGAGCGAACTATTTATATTAAAATATGTAGTATGGGGGGCTGGGGGGGTATGGCCCTGAACTTCTAAAGTGGCCTAAACACGCCTTAATTTACAGCTTTAAAAAAAAAATAGAGGTGCACGGCTGCACGCCGTAAAACCTCAACAAAGACAGTATTTATGTATTTACATATTTTAGCGTATTTGTTTGTTTGTTTTATTATTTTAAGAACACTGTCGAGAAACGGTTTACGCTCAACAATTCCAAAGAAGTATGAACGACCAGCTGGTACAAATTATACACGTTTTTTGCGCAAACCTACGGGCTGCGCCTAACGCCACTATAAATGAGACAGATTTTTGACCTTATTTAGGGATTCCGTTTTAAACGCAATTAATTCAACAACGCCTTCGCGCTTCGGCTTCAAGATATTGTTTTTTTACTAAAAATATAAGCAAAAAAATATAGCAAATACAAAAACTTGAAGAAAAATGCCTAAAAAGGCTATTTGAATTTTAAAATTATATCATTTATTTTTTTATCGGAGAGCCTTCCTCTCCGTTCCTTTATGCCGGTTGCATGTTGTTGTTGGATACATATGATTCACTTTTTGATATAAAGCACAGACACTATACTGCAACCATTACAGAACTACTTGCTATTAAGTATTGAAAGTACAGTTGAGAGATTACTACATCTACCTGACAATATGTGTGCCGGTATGTGATGGACTGATTTGACGATATGTCTTGCTTGCAGGTGCATACCTCACTAAAAACCATCTTGTTTATCCCCCAATGTTTCGTTGTCAGGTGTATATCTCACTGTAAAATACCTTGCTTATACCTAAAGTGATTCTTTGTGTAAAACTTGTACATCACTTGATACTTGTGCTTATTACCTTCATTCTACAGATTAAAACTCATTCAAACATGATACTTTACTTTTTTTATACCCTCAGCTAAACTAGAAAACCCCATGAACGACCACGACTTCGGCAAACTCTTCGACCACACCATTCTGAAGCAAGATGCGACCAAGGAACAGGTTGTCGCTGTGTGCCAAGAAGCAGCCAAGCATAACTTTATGAGTGTGTGCGTCAACCCGGGATGGATCACAACATGTGTGAAAGAGTTGGAGGGAACTGATGTCAAGGTATATAAGAATCATATCATGTATTGCTGTCCGTTGATTATAACCTCTATTTAGGTGTATCCAGTTGCTATGCGATACTGAAAGCATATTGGGGGCTTTGCATTGCACCATAAACCGCTGCATGTATGGCAGTCTTAGCAGTCAGACTCTTCGATAGTGATAAATGACTATCGCTCTCAGTCGTAAGGGTTCGATTGAATTCGAGACACATCTGTGGTAGATGATTTTCAAGTATTTAATTGATGCAAAACTTTTTGTATACTACGCCTGTCATTAAGTCATGTACGCTTACTCTCAATCATGTACTGCAGGTATGTACTGTCATCGGCTTTCCCCTAGGTGCCACAACGTCCGAGTCCAAGGCGTATGAGACCAAGAACTCGATCGAGAACGGTGCATTGGAAGTAGACATGGTCTTGAACGTAGGATTTATGAAAGACGGTAATATAGATGCGGTGGAATCCGACATCAGGGCAGTAGTAAACGCAGCACGACAGGCTAACGACAAAGTGATTGTTAAAGTGATCCTCGAGACATGTTTGCTGAACAAGGACCAGATCAAGACCGCATGTGAGCTGTGTGTGAAGGCTGGTGCTGACTTTGTGAAGACGTCAACCGGTTTCTCAACTGGAGGTGCCAAGGCAGAGGACATAAAGCTCATGAGAGACACTGTGGGCAAGGATGTGGGTGTCAAGGCGTCGGGTGGTATCAGGGACTACGCCGCTGCCATCGCTATGGTGAACGCTGGGTGAGTATTGTCTGTGAGATCAGTATGCAATGCTGAAGTTTTAGTGTATATGTGAGGCAAGTGGGTGGGTGTGAGTGGGTGATATGCATGTATGTATTGTATACATTACACAGCTAGTTTTGCACTTGCATGTGTGCGTGTATTTCTGCTTGAATAACTACTAGCTCGAACGATACAGCTTTCAAAGGCACGCGCTGTACTCTTCAGTCTTATTGGTGCAGCTTACTTTCACAGGCTCTGAAGTGCACTTTACTGATTTCATGATAACTTAATACTATGTAGTTGTTGTACAGGTAGAGCTCGTGATGTATATGCACCTGTCGGTGATGCACTTGAAATAAGTAGTTGCGAGAATGTAGTAGTAGTTAATGCTTGTAGTTATATCAGCTCACGTACACGAGTGCACACTGGAGATACGCTATACTTAACAGAAAGTACCAGTCTGTAGAATGTCCTTCCTTGTACTCTACCGAAAAGGTGGTTTGTATCGTATATATGATGCAGGTACAATACACATCTGCGTCAAGCATGAGTCATTCCCCATTTTGCGGTAGTTTTCTGCATCACTGTTGTATATCTCGTAATTCATCAGACATTTCAGTGATCAAATTTCCGTCAATTAAATTACCGTATCCAATGTCGTTTTTGAAAACTACAGCGCCAATCGTCTGGGATGCAGTGCTGGTATCAAAATCATCGAACAAAGAGCGGCCAATGACACACAGGCCAGTGCAGGTACAGGCCTATATTAAAGCATCGGTACTAACGGATTGACTGGCACATACTACGCCATTCTTGACAGCAACTACTCGATTCTAAACACTCAACACCTATACTTAATCCCTAGTATATACTGCACCATTCGTTCGTATCAGAACACAGGATTATAATCGAGCGAAAATGCAGCAGACTGGAGCGAATCTTCAGTGGTACAGATACGTAAATAAAGAAACACCATTTCCGCGAGCAAATTCGTAATGTTTTTCATATAGCCTACCACATTTTGTAGCTGGACTTCGGCCCGTACTCATAACTTGTGATTGTGGAATTCAATGTCTAACTAAGGATTTGCAGAACAAGCGCGCACACAAAGAATTCTCTTACATTTCTTGAGCACACGTTTGGTACATGATTATTTGTTTCCGTTTTTGTTTTGGGCGACATCAATGGACAAGCTATCCAAAATACAAAGCGGTGTATCGAACACAGTAGTGAACTTTATGTTTAGCTAAAGCAGAAGTTACTATCTCAGTGCAACGTTTCTGTTCACGGTTGTAAACGCATTACTCGCGGACTGTATGCAGGCACAGTAACAGATTGTAGTTTATCGAAGACGTGCGCTATACGCAGGCCCGAATTACAGCTTGAGGCACGAAACAAAACGTTAAAATCGAAAAATCATATCAGAATGCAGGACAGCTACGAGAACGTGGAACACGATATGTAGTATAACATCAACTGCACGAAAACACTGATTGTGGAAAAATGACTTCCAAAACGAGTGCGACGTATCCACTAAGGCGAAGTAGAGCCATTATACTCATGCAATGTGTATTGTGGCATTAGAGATAGACAAATAGTACAACTCGTGATACCTTTCTTGCTCCTCGGCCAGTCATGTACGACGCACAGTTCTTTATTTACTATACAGTCCAAATTCCTACTCGCACAACTGTTTAAATGTACAACCCCTTTCACCATATCAGATCCTCCCCAAGACTGTACTGTACAAGTGAGGTCCTTTTCTGGTTCAAGCGCAAATCTACAACACATCAGAGCAGAGTTTTCAAGCCCAAATAAGCATTCTGCTGCGTTTCAGCCGCAGTATATCTTTTGTTTGGTCACCCCTCATGTGCGATAGTGAAAACTCCAAACGTGTCAGCTCTACAGAATGCAAGCTCAATTTGCTTTAAAACCCGGGGGGTGTTTGTGTATCGAGTAAGTGTTCTGCTTCATCTGCAACATTGCGTTTCTGCAGTCGAAACAAAGTTCTTGTTCTCGCCTGGACCGCCAGTGGCTCACGACCTCTGTAACACTGCGCATGTACTTTTTGATAATACATATGGTACAGTCATACTGATATAGTGTTCCATAGCACTCTTGCAAAGACACGCCGACGTCACTGTTATGCTTGCTGGTGCTACCATGAATATCTTATATCGGGGTGATGTGTCATACATTGGCACAATAACATATGTACAATATATTTTGTGTCGGGACATTGGGATATGTTGTGACAATCACACCATTGTATCGTACCCTATGCTGGTACGTTCATACTAGACTCCTCCTGCTCGTAGAATTGGTTCACATCGTTAGCAGCCAATTTCCACTCCAGCGCTGACCACCACATCAAGCCTGCAGTTGTTGCGTAGAGCACTATCGAGCACACCGCAACTATATAATTCCCTGTTAGCATACCCATGGTTGTCATAGAAACGCCACCGGCGAAGACAAACATAGACATGAAGTACTTCATTGCGAAGAGGCCTGATAGGAGCGGACGTTCCTTGTGCCCAATGTGTAGCACTGTTTGAAACAGTCCGAAGAATACAAAGTAGATCCCTATGGCTACATATGACATCTGTGGGATTTCCTTGAATGTGCCTATGCATGTGAGTATCACAGCTATCGCAAGGAATAACAGGCTGCCTACGAACAGGCACGAGTATATTATCTTATAGTACTGCAGCATGATTAACGGCCACCTCTAATTAAATATGTATGGGTACTGTGATATTAGTGCGCTAACATTTATATTCGTCGTGCGACTAATGATGTTTCAAATGATATGACACAGGCAAGGATATGTCACAGACAAGTGAATCAGAGCAATCTCAAGCAGAAAACTTGTTCATCTACAAGCTTGCTCCTAGTATGTGTGATATGCTCTACCAACCTACACTTATTTACACACGTACACAATCACGTGTGGTTTCTCCGCTTCAGCGTGGAGTTGTGAATAAATCCTGCGAGCGTGTCCAAGAGGTTATGCGCCCCCCCCCCCCCATAGATATTTACATACATACATAAAAGATACATAAAAAAATAATTTAAAATATGTATGTCTAAAAAATACATACTGAAAGACCAAAAATAGAATATATATAGCTATTGTAATAAATGGACCGGTTCCGGGAACCAATGTAAATATTTAGCCCTTCGGACGATATTTATTTATTATTTCCGATGACAGCCATCTTTTTGTTCGCATTTCTTCTTTCTCTCTATAATGTTTCTTTTTTTGTTTTTTTAATTAAAAAAGAATAAAAAAGAAAAACTTTTCTTGTATTTAACCCCGATTACGCTTTTCCGGTCTGGGTTATTTTAACGATCTCCACAAGATTGGTATCTAAATTGGGCTTATCAGTATTACTATTCTCTGGGCATTATATACATCAATCTCTAACCTGTGTACGTATGTCCCGTTCTAATTAAATCACATATTTCATACGATTGGGTCTACGATACCATCTTCCAATTTTCCTTACCCTTCTGTTTGGCACACATATACAAAATACCATGAAGACCTTCTGTGGCATCGTGCTGGCGGCAATTGCCGTAGTTGTGGCACAGTTCCATGTACATATGTCACCCAATATCACGTTCAGTACAGTCCCGTTAAGAGGTTTTCCAAATCAAGAGATTCTCGTCAAACTAAATGCACCCGCAGGTGAGGAATCGACATAATTGTTATTCAAGAAGTATCGTGCTTCCGAGTTGATATTTACTGACTTGGATGCAAGTGATATTCACTGTCTGTGACAGTGTTGATATAAATACCTGGCTTTGATGTAGCTGATATACATTGACTATGACATAGTTGATGCAGCTGATATACACTGGCTATGACATAGTTGCACTGATGTGCATTGGATTCGTTACGGTTTGGCTGTTATACCTTGACTTCGATATAGTTGACATGCACTGACTTTGCTACAGTTGATATACACTGATTTTGGCGTTGTTGACATACACTGACGATGATATCGTTGCTGTACACTGACTTTGATATAGTTTATGTACATGTATGTAATATAGTTCATACACGCAGAATTTGATGTACAGGAGATACCTTTGCTTTATTTTAATTTGTATACATGATATACTTGTTATATACTCTTTTCAATACAGTTGATAAACCCAAACTTCAATAAATTTGAATATACTGACTTTGATATAGATATACACTGACTTAGATATAGTAGATATACAGTTGCTTAGGTATAGTAGATAGACAGTGGCTTAGGTATAGCAGACATACACTGACAGATATAGTGGATGTGCACTGACTTAGATATAATTTTTATTCACTGACTTAATTATATTTGATATTTACCGACTTAGATATAGTTGATATACACTGACAGACACAGTTCATATACACTGAGTTCGATATGGTTGATATACACTGACAGATACAGTTCATATACACTGAATTCGATATGGTTGATATACACTGACATCGAAACAGTTGATAAAAACATACGTAGACGCATGTGACTGGCAGTGCAAGTCACAACACACCCTACAACGAGGTCTATGTGAATAGTAGTGTGTACTTAAAGCTATGATCACATGTCTACATGGCAGTTTTATATATATACCTTTGGATGTGCTGTACCAATACCAAAATATAGTTGCTTAGGTATACTTGGTGTGCGTTTTGTCGACTGTCTGTGGAATATCTTCTACTTCGAATCTGGACAGACACGCATATAGCAATACTCAATAGCGTCATGTATGTATTCATGAGTTTGTTTCACATACATCAATATATTTATAGCCGTTTAATGATACTTTCTGCGCGCTTGGCAAATTGCCTGTTTCTGTTTTCATGATTTCAAATCGAGAGTTCCAGACTGGTGTGTTTGGAGAATCCAGCACACTAGGATGATTTGGAACCGTTTTACGAATCTACATTTCGTGTAACAACAAAGTATGCAACTTAGGCACACTCGAATACTCAAACAAGCCAAGCAAGTGTTCTTTTACGTCGTCTTATCAGCCTATATTTAACACGTCATAATTTATACCGAAGAATTCGTTATCGACTAAAAATGGAGTTTATGTATTCAATGCTAAGTAGGGAACGGTGGGCTTATGTGTGCTACTGCGTTGTTGTTCGTTTTGGTATACCTAGAGATCCCACACGTTGAATACTTGCCAAATATGTGCATATTGTATACAAATCCATTTGCAAATAGCACACTATTCGTCTATCGTGCATGTGCTGATTGATCCCTATAAACTTCTGTGGATTGCTGTTGTCAGCTATGATTGCGGGAATTCGCGATACCTGTCATATGGATAACAAAGTGTGTTCGTATCACGCGTTACGCTAGTAGTATCCTACGGCTATAGTACTTCTCGGCGTCCAATTATTCACCACGGGGACATAGACTATACCATTGACCGCAATTTCCCAGTCCCAGTACTTACAGAGTTGCCTTTCATGTCTGGTCTGATTTCAATGTTATTGTATTGGCTTAACAAATGTCCATTACTATTACTACGAATCCGTCTAGTTGTCTTCGCTCGCTATAGAGACCACCTAATAGTTATTGCTGTTCCACCTGATCATTTCATAGAGTCAAAGCAAAGTAGGCCAACAGTTGTCATCGTATATCGCGGTGGTAGTATCAGCCAAAATCCCCCAACCCCCTCAGGCATTATATTTACCTGAAGCAAGGTCTCATCCTCAGCAAATTTTCTCGGTAATCGACAGGTTACGAAGGAAAACTAAAAATAGAAATCGACGGGTCCTCGGCAGTCGGAGGAGGTAAGATTGTGGGCGACAATGAAGTGAAGTTTGATGGCGGCGAACCCGTCAGTAAGGGAAGGGCAACATTCGGTATAGGTATGATATGGGTCACAGATTTCGATGCACGCGATGTTTTTATTGCCAGGCCCACACCCGCGTAGTTGTTGCCTTGATAGGTATCGCATTTGCCAGATGCACCAGAAGAGTTGGCATAAGGCGGTTTTGGCCTGTGGTCACGGAAGCATGTCTTTTGTAGCCGATATGGTGTACGACGCCCGAGACACTTAAGTTTGTTTTAAAGTTTTTATGAACCTGTGCTGGGTTTAAATCGATCTGCGGTGCATGGTGAATATAAACCAAATTGCACTACATAGCAGCCTTTGTGAAATATATTAGGTTGGTTTATTAAAACCACCTTGTAAACAATAGCTTGCGGAGGTTCGGCCAGTTCCAAACAGGCCGCAGCATCGACCCCTGTACTTAATGTGTTATGGCATGTGAGCTTCCAAGCAATCACTCTTTCGCGGGCTCTGTTGCGGTGTGAAATGCTATTGCCGAGGAAACTCATCCAAGCCATAATATCTCACTATGATCAACAGACAAGATCGGTTTGTACAGATTACACGCTGAAATCGACGGAGAAACGGTTGTGAGTCATATCATCACAATCGCACCTGAGACACAGTGCAACGGCAAGCAATGGTTCTATGTGAGCTCCTGCGACGACTGCGTGCACTTGACAGACCTCAACTGTCAGTACTGTCCTGGCTTGCAAACGGTATATTGGAGTTTAAAACTTATTCGCGTTCCATTGTTCACATATGTTTTCTGAAGTCCTGATGTTGTGTGATATGTCAGTGATTTTATGCTATAGCGGTAATTTGTAATATCCCTGTAGCTTGTATCGCAATGTATACTGGCTGTGCAGGTTATTCGGAGACAATTTGTTGTATGTGCAAATGTGGACGTCCAGGCGAGGCTTTTTTACGTATTTGGAATACACCGCACATAGGAAGTACATAAGCATGCCGTTGAATGTTTTTATTTTACCTGAATGTTATAATCATGTGGAGAATCGGACACCCGGTTATTATTTTCTGTGAGACTTGTGAGCCTGAATGGAGTGGCGGTCTTATGCTGATAAGTATAGTTAATGGATTGAATGTGTTTGATTTGTAGCAAATACCGCTTGAAATCTGCGCATATGTAGTGTTTTGAGTCGGCACGGGTTAGTGTAGAGGTATTCGCCAATATACATACACACACACACACACACACACACACACACACACACACACACACACACACACACACACACACACACACACACACAC